ATGTTCATTAGAGATGGGATCAAATTCAATCCGTATCGTCGGGTACACGAGTTTCATTTTTGTAAATTTCGAATTCTATACTCGAAAGTAAAAGATGTTTCAGCGAGTGCAACTTGCGACGTATACTTTCGCACCGTTGTGATTCTACGGAATGAATCTCTGCCCTCGAAGGGTGGAGTGAAATTTCAACAGAGAAACAGAGAAACGTGCTTCGCTCAAAAAGTTTCGGACGCAATTTTCCCATCGTGAAAAGTTCGAGTCTTACTTTTGACGAATTACTCGACTCTGCTCCCTGGAAGTAATCATTTGTCGTTTTCATTTCCTGAAATTACTCGCGAGAGACGAGATTTTACCTCGCTATAATTCGTTCGACTACTCGATACACTCGCAAATGACACACGAATTCACTCGTCAAAGTGTCTGAAGCTACTTGTCTGAGGTGCTCGATCTCATCTCTAATACTCGTAACGGAACAGAAGCGTGTGTATTAATCGAACGAATAAATTAATGCAGGCCGTTTGACGGTAGATTGGGGAATCAGATGGATTGGCCATCGGATTGAAACGATACTGACGCGATTAAGTACGAACGCGGGCGAGGCATTATACAAAATGAGCGAAACAAACGATACAATGAATATCCATGAACGTGAATGGAAAACACAACGTAATGCTGAACGTATTGTGACCGCAAGCGACGACAATAATCGCGTGTTTCTCGAATCAGCAATAGCAAACAACGTTGCGCGCCGCGTACGAAGTTACATTTTAATTCATCTTTGCTCGGAACTATTATATTTACTCGTAGTAGAGACTGCGTATTAAAATTAGTGTCTTTCTTTTTTTTATTAGAAAAATATTTTCCACGCTCTTGTGTGTGTGTGTGTCTGGTAGTAATCGTTCTGAATTAAAACGTGAATGTTCCTCTGAATGTTCATGCGTTCCATTGCTCTCGATAAATTGAGCATGAATGAATTAAAACATTCCACAACGGCGAAAATCACTCTCTGTCCTCTTCTTTAGCAATTGTTATTAATTTTCATGTCAATGTTTCACGAATACGCACGTCATTGCCGTGGCTTGATCAAACGAACCAACGTTTCCCAATTTATATAAAACTCCGTTGCGAAGAACTGGGCTTGGATTTCAGAGCTTGGAAAATAGTAAGCAGATATTACACGAGATTTTCTTTATATTGTACATATATATATATATATATATATATATATCTTTCACGCTACAATATGTTTATAATTGTAATTGTCAAAAATTCGATTAGAGAACATCGAGCGAGAGGTCAATCGGCGAAAATGAAAAGAATTGGGAAACGCTGTGCGAGAAGAGCCATCCTGTTAACTACAGCTTGCGTCAGTTACATTTCCTGTTTCGGCATCGATCATCGGACACCACCGTGTTCATCATCCGTGTGAGGGGTGTGTGAGGGTGCGATTGGAGTCGGTTGAAGAGTCTGTGCGTGTTACGACGAAAACGACGAAAATGTTCATGTCCATTGTTGTTGTGTGTATCTGTACGCACCCATACGTTACTTAACTGTCACATGTCATGCGAGTGTACACATAAGTACGGCAGGAGAAGACGTGTGAATTGCGCGTGAAATTAGACGTCGTCTGTGGTGAACGCGAAATGAGCGAGCATGAGGCGTATCACGTTATTGCATTGTGCGTCGTTAGGACGCAATTATAGATGAAGGGGCCATATTATTATGAGCAGAGAGAGAGAGAGAGAGAGAGAGAGAGAGAAAGAGAGAGAAAGAGATTAACAAATAAATATAATTACACGTACATCGCGCGCTTGAGCGTGCACGCATTAAACCTAATCTCTAACAAATCGATATCGTTTCTTTTTTTTTTTTTTTTTTTTTAAAAAAATTAAAATGAAACATTTGTACTTTAGCAGTATAGAGCAGTCGTTTTGTCGTACTTATTTACCTTAATATCATTATCGTCGTTTATATTATTTTATACATATATATGTAATATTATATTTTTTTTTTCTTTTTTCTTTTGCTTTTAAAGAACAATTCCCGCCTTGGCACGCCGTCATCCATCGTCGTCGGTCATTTTAATCACTCCGATATATATATGTATATATATATCGTGCTATACGTTGGACGATCTATAAATCGCGAGTCGCGACGAGAAAAAAAAAAAAAAAAAAAAAAGGAAAAGAGTAAAATCACGTGGAGATCTTCTCGCGTCGGATGTACGACGATTTGACTCCGAATGGCTTGACCAGACCGCAATGATCCAGACGTGCAAGTTTGACTTTAGAAGCTACCGATCTCGATTACCCGATCGCGCTTCCTCACGTGTCAATGACGCGAGGGATTTCAATTTCAATTAATTTTAATTGGTTATCATTGTCTCGGGAGTCGTCTTACATCCGGCCGTGGATGTACACACTTCGTTCCTCGCTGTTTCGCGATTTATAAAAACACCCCGTATAGGTACAGTATGCAGTCGATATCTCGCCTATATAAAAAAGAAGAGTATGTATAATATACGTGATACAGCGTACGCAACGAGATGCACGCTTGAGCTCAACTTATCTATAAATATACAATCATAGAATCAATATCAAACAAAATCATGATTATTGCAGTGTCCTGTTTTACGGGCGGAATATATGTATATATTTATATATATGTATATATATATATATTTCTTTTTTTTGCTATATATACACACACACATATATATATATATATTTATCTCTGAAACGAAAGGAATCGCCATTCTTCCTTTTTTTTTTTCTCTCTTTTCTTTACGTAAGCGTTCCCAAATATGTTCATGCGCAACGAAATTGCCAGACATGTTCGTCAACTGACGTATGCAACTGTTAAACGTAAACGCTCATGTAAATATGAGTATCGATAATATCAAAGTAATAAAACAATAATAATAATAATAATAATAGATAACCATATTGAATACGATTATAGTTCGAATAATATTAATAATAATGGTACATTGATTACGCAACGATTCCCACCAGTATTATGTACAGATATTATAGCACCATGACCGAAATCTCGAAGGTTAAAAAATAGCATATTACACTTTTAAGAGATTAAAATGAGATGGGAACGGGGGGAGAAATGGAAGTGAGGCTGGGCTCGATGGGAAAAGTGTGAAGAGAGGAGAATTGGATGATCTTGCGCTTCGGTCGGAACACGAGATGAGGGAAAGAAGAAGAAGAATAATAATCAGAAGAGGGGGTATGATGCTCTAAGAGTAAACAATATTACCTCAATTGTCAATCTTACTAGCTTTTTGATTATGCCAGTCAATCGCTTATCCATCGAGTCTCGATAAAATAACAATTTACAAGAGCAAATGAATTCAAAAGCTTGTTCCTCCACATTGAGACTGATACGTTTCTTACAGCAGATTCTTACGCGTGATTTAATTATCGTTCGTGTACTGTTATTACCAGTTTTGGACAGCAGGGAACTAGCGGAGACGAAGATTGACCGGCGTGATCGACTAATCGTTAATATTACATTAATATCGTTATTTAAGTATTTGGCCGTTTCAATTAACGTGTTTCCAACAACGTTTACGCATTGCTAAACTCGGCGAATAAGTCGCGGCGACTAGAAATTTTGAAAATGGAAAACAAAACAGAACGAATCGCAGAAATTCAGATATATATAAATATATATATATATATCACAGGAGGAAAATGTCGCAACTGTTTCTCTCTTCGTTTTCGTTTTCTAGTTTAATAGTCAGAGATGATTAGGACAGCCACTAAATCGATTCGAATTACAGAATTTATGTACACATAAAAATTCTCATTACATTATACATGTCGTATCGAGTGACTTGACTTCTTCTCTTTTTTTTTCTTTTTTTTTGTTTTTTTGTTTTATACATTTTATTGAAATTTTCCTCCTTTACGTGTCTCGCGACGAAGAGGACAAGATGGTTGTAATAATTTAAAAAGTATTTAAGCACGACTCGCTTGCACGCGCTTTCCTCTCCTATTACATCTTTTGGCGCAGATCTGTCTTGGTAGATGGTAAGGGAACCGAGAGAAGCATTGTTGCTCTCACTCTTGTCAGGGCAGAGTTAGAATTGGGGGAGGAAAAAAAAAAAAGAAGAAAAGAATATTATAGTTGCGTAAATTTTGTTTACCTCAGTAGGTTGAAAAATGGCCTACCATTGTAGATCTACGCTCATTCGACGATAATGCGTTTAATAACTATTTCTTCTTGCATATAGATTTATAATCTTTATATATATATATTTTAATATATATATAGACTCATATTTATATTATATTAAACGATGATATCCCTTCTTTGTTCAATATATTAATTAGGTATGATATGTTTATTCACAACTTGATGTGAGCGCTTAGAGTTGGAATTTACTTCCTTCCTTCCTCCTAGTTATCGTGAAGATAGTCTTCTTTCACATTGTCTTCCCTTTTCTTTTCTTTTTTTTTTTTCTTGTTTAGCGACAGTGATATACCGACGATATATTATATTTAATTTAAGTACGACGCTAGATAAAACATTAATTTCTCTAATAGATAAACTTACATTTTCATCATTTCTCACAATGAATATATAATATATACAGCGGTGGCTGAAAGAAAAATTAAAAATTCATATTCTCGTACATTTGCGTAATTACATATTTTATACTAATATTTGTATAACTGATTTGTGAAATTCCCACGCGCTGATATGTAAATGTTCATTTATTTGTAAAGTTTATTTATACATGCAATTAAATTTGTTAAATTACCCATAAATTGACGTCGTAAAATTGATGATATGACAAATTGAATCAAATCGAAAGAAAAGTTTTGAAAGTATTGTATCCCAAGTATTTATAAAATATATTTGTGAAATCAAACTTATCATATTTATATTATTGTATCTAATAAATCTTACACTTTTCAAATAAAATATTCTTTGACTAAAATATATCTCTTTCTTCATCTCTATACATATAATTATCTGTTCCGTTCTTCCTCAAACCGTCTATATCCTCGTACTATACTGTGATCCATGTTTATAAAATATAGTTCCTTCTTAATAAATTATACCGTTCAACATTTCACCCTTTAAATGTTCTTTCATCCACCACTGTATATATAAATATGTATATGTATATTAATTACATATCGATACACATTACATGCTAGTCATTGTCAGAGAATTATTAGTGTTCAAGAGTTCGAAGATTCAAACATGCTCACTTCAGGATATAACAATCGGAAAACAATTTTCGGCCGTGGATCGATATAACAAATACAACAGTTCAACGCAACAAGTATATTATATTATCATTAACATAACGTTCAACACCTTTCATCCATCCCCTTTGTTTCTTCCTTCCATTTCCCCTTTTTTTCGTTTCCTTTCTTCTTTCTTTCTTCGCATTTTTCGCACGCGAGATATTTGTTCACTAAAAAATCTTACGTCGACAATTTTTGTAAAGTCTCAACGAAAGGACAACCTCGAACGTGTTAACTCTCAGTTTCCGCGACGCCAACCCTGAAGCGACGCAACAATATCTATAAAGGTAATTCGCTATGCTACTTGTCAAGTAATAAAAATAGAGATTGCATAGATTGAGATTCGTAGCGGATGCATCTAGATAGATACGTCCTATAAAGATTTCCCTTTTTTGAGCTTCTTTTATATAGCGTGAAACTTTTTTTTTCTTTTTTACTTTTGTATATGTATATAAGTGTGTAAGTGTGTGTAAGTTGTACGCGCATGCGGCTGGCAGCATGCGTGTATCATTTTACATGTACGTACCACCATATTTATTTATTTATTTATTTATTTATTTATTTATTTATTTATTTATTTATTTATTTATTTATTTCCCTTCGCGAACGGTGCAGCTATTCATTGAGTCACAGTTTTCACATTGGAGAGGACGACGGAAACGGTATTCTCGTGTCGATTGCATGAAAAAAATACGATATTACGTTCTCGATATGTCTACAAGTTCAATTCTGTGAAATTTCTCCATTACTGTTTTCCTCGACAGGTCGTTGCACACACCGTCTCGCTCGTCTCGTTCCAACTGACTCGTACGAATCCTCGAATTAGCCAACGTTCCCGAAATGACTCGCTCGAAGAATTAATTTTTACTGGATAAAAACCGTAATAAATAAACTGTGCCTTGTAAAGTGATCACCGCTTTTTGTGCTATATATCTTATCGACGCGACGCGTGTTCGATCACTGCGTCGCTTTATTGCAATCAACGATATGCGCGAGACCACCGTCGTACCACGGTACTTGATTCCCTTCATCGCCGAGTGTCTGAGTATTTAAAATGCTTTCGGTTGGAACAGTGAATGATACGAATCCCTTTTCTACGTGAAAATCACCCCCCCCTCCCCCCCATGTTTCACACTCTCTGTCTACCCTTGCACGATTTAGAACAATCGAAGGTGGGGCTAATCGTCGTTAGTAACTACATTCTCGAGGAAAAAGAGTATTTTCCTTTCGTTCTTTTCATTTTTTTTAAATCTAGTAACTTTTTAAAAGTTAACCATTCGTCGTATATACATATACATATACATATACATATACATATACATATACATATATATATATATATATATATACGTAATTATCGATTGTACAACTATCTTTAATCGAATAAATCTTCTTCTCCCCGTGTATCGTGTCAAGAGTGTTGTTTTCGATCGGCAATCTGTAAACCTTTTGCCGTTCTGCTGGCCTGCGCGATGGATCGCGTAAAGTCAGAGCCGCCATCTCGCCTTTGCCAGGATCCTCCTCGGCGCGTTTCCAAGAGTCGAATCGAATCGAATCAGTCGCCAACCGGCCAACCAGCGAAAAACAAAATCGTCCTCGAGGTCCAAGCTGCGTTTGTGCGATGAACACCGGCAATTAGAAAGACTCATCCGGCAGGGCCGTTCGTTCGTTCGTTCGTTCTCGTCGAATTAACTCGATGTACTCTGAAACATTCTTCAAAGACGGGGTCTGGCCATTAAAATTCCCCGGTATCGCGCGGATTGCCGCGTTGAATTGCAAATCGAAGCGGAGCTGCAGGGGGCGTGGATGAAAATGCAAACGTGGATTTATGGAGTGCGAGCTCGCCGAGTGGATATTACGCCCGGGCGAAATTGGAGGAACAAAGAGGTTTCGAATTGTTCGAGATTCGTGGCAACCTCGAACGTTGCGCCTGCACTTTCTCAGATATCGAGCGTGACGGGAAAATTTGATTCACTGTAGTTAAAAATTTGCTCGACAAGGATAATTACTATCGCTGATGAAACACGTAAGAAAGTATAGCTTTAATCTCGGAAAATGTCGAATTATGTGCTTATAGAGCTTCGAGCTTCTGGGTGGAGGCAAAACTAGGACAAAGCCACTTTGCGCTGTGTGCAATTGTTTCGAGTGAAAATTCGCAAAATTTCATACACGTATAACTTGATACCATGCTACATTGTATATATCATTAGACGATAAAATATACAACTTCAATCTATATTGACTATAAACTGCTAACAACTGATAAAATAACAATGTTAAAATTGTAGAGATTGTAGAGATGTATTCATGGGATATTCAGGATTGAAGTGGTTAAAAAATAATCGACCAAACCACGAGGAATTGATACGTTAACAGGACACAAGACAGCAATGAAAAATTATAGATAAATTGAAAAATTATAGATATTTTATCAGTGGGTTAAACCACTTGCGCTGGCAACTGATTGCGGACCATAACGAGCGTCCGAACCGTATACAATAAAACGCTTTTCTCTTTGAACTCGTATTATTAATAAACTCATCATTCGTTTTTTGCCTGGGTTATACTTAAATATACTTAAAACTGAGAAAATATTGCAATTTAAAAAAAAAAAAAATGATTCTCGACGTGCGTGGCACGTGATTCCAGCGCAAGAGGTTAAACGACACAAAGGGTGTATGATGATAATCACCTCTTCACTGAAGATCTTCCTCGCACTTAGGAATGTCGAATATCTCGGCGAACAGCGGTGGCAATTTGAGCTTGGTCCAGTTCCTTCTGAACCAGTCGAGGAGATTCGCGTGTCTGGCACCCAGGGCCCTTAACTCCGGTATCCTTTGTGAGACGCTCGAGACACCGGAACAACCACCCGCGGATGTTGCCTCGCCGGAAACCGTGTGATTTCGTAACGCTTGCACCTTCAGCGCTTCCAGCAGGCGATCCTGAAGCCTCTGCACCGCTTTCACGTCGTTCAGACCCGGCCTCTCGCCCAGAAGAACGGCACCGGAGAAAAGGCCCAATTCGGTGTCCGATAGTTGGTGGGCGTTCAAGGCCGATGTGAATTGCATCAAAGCGGACACAAAGTCTGGCTGTTTTTCGTTTCGTATTCGTCGATTAATCGATTGTTGCCTCGCTTGTTCTCTGATTTCTTTTTTCTCTTTCTTTTTCTTTTTTTTTTTTTTTTTTTTGTCATTGTGATTCGTTCATTACGCGATTGCGACGAAAATGTTGTTTCGACGACAAATATTTGTGAAAGTTGTTTCAGGTTCGAAAAGTTCGTAGAATATGTTCTTTCGAATTTTGTTTCCTTTCTCGCTTCGGAAATCGCGTAACCGAGTCATTTATGTCAGAGGACTGATAACACAAATCGAATGCCAAAACGAAGCTCAAAACAAAGATCTTTCTACGATCCTTTCGCTCGCGCTCGCGTGATGATTTATTTATTGGATCGGAGTATTGTTTCTTGCTTACCTCGTACATCAATTCCATTTGCTGCCTAGTGATATAAGTACCATCCTCGAATGTCATCGAGCTGTCAGTGGTCATCTTCGAGATATGGCTTAGCCAGACTTCAAAGAAACCGACCTTAATCAGGATCAGTTGATCGTCCTGCGAAAGATCACAAAATCCTGGCACCCTTTTGGCAAACTCCACCACCCTTTGCACCGATGGCGTTATCCTGGTGGCGAATTGTTGCCAAAGCCAGATCCTTTGCGATTCAACTGTTTCAGCTGTCGAGGATGCCGCCTCTGGGTCCTCTGGACTGGCGGGCTGCGAAGAAGTACTCGCCTAATCAGCAGGATTATAAAAGAAACAGGCGTTGCTGCCAGTTCCAGTTCCACCGTGTCATTCTAACATAGTAGCGAAATAATTAGAAGCGGACACGACGCTTAGCCACAATTTACGATAATTATAAACTGATCGTGATTCCTTGTCATTTCTTATCGATTCTTTTCAAAGTTCTTAACAGATAAAAAGAAAAAAGAAAAGATTACGACTTTATTGAAACTGTTTCTTGTCCAACGTTTCGCATTTTAGTAATTTAACACTGGAGCTACCAAAGTGGTCAAAACGACCAATTTTATAACGTTATTTATGGAAATTTTGTATACTTGTAACAGTGTATATTCAGATGAGTGTCTAAAAATAATGATCCATGAGTGATTTTTAACAAAATGTATCAATAAAAGTTGATGTTTCTTTATCGTATTAACACTTTCATCGATAGTTCTGCAAGTGTTAAATTCAACTTAATTCTAAATTTTAGTAAAACTTTCTAATATTCTCAATGCTTCAATTCTAAATTTTAGCTAGATTTATATAAAATATTCTTCAACTGGCGAACCAATAATTTCAAGTGTCAAAGAATTTGATTTAGACCGTGGACTGTTGCCGCCATCATAAGAATCTAATTATTATCTCTTCTTTCGTGTGTTGAAATTTATTTGAACGCAGTTTCATTGAACTCTACGCATCGTCGGACCAACGAAAGTCCGAAACGTTTCGTCGTGTCCGCCGCTAACGTGTCCGTGCTTCAGCAACTTCCCTCCCCGAAATTTCCAGCAGACTCACCGGTATTATCATCGGTTTCCGGACGATGCCCCTCGTTGACTCCTCGGTGAAGCCACAGTGAGCGTGATGCGCCTGAGATACTTGAAGTATCACGTCGTAAACCGCCAACTGTTTCACGTCCGCGTCTGACTGATCCGCCTCCACCACCGCAGCCGGCGGCACGCACGGTATAGCGTTCTGTGCCTGGTTGTTGTTGTTGTTGTTGTTGTTGTTTTGACTGCTGGTGTTGTTGTTGTTGTTGTTGCTGGTGGTGGTATTGTTGTTGTTGTTGTTGTTGCCACCAGCAGGAGACGTGAGCTGTTGCACGTCGGTGGTGGTAGTGGTCGTGGTCGTGGTCGGCACTGTGTCTTCGGGGCCGCGTTCTCTCGAACGTTTCGGCACCCTGCCGTACCTAACGGCTAAAATGAAGGGAACGATCATTCAACCGAGCCAAAGACAGCGCAAAATTGCTAATTCTTAGTGGCAGCGACTTTAGAATTTAATTCCATGGCAGTGGCTTTAGAATCTAAATAAATAAAGTGAATCTAAATATCTTTATTTATTTAGAATTTAAATAAATAAAGTAAATCTAAACGTATTTATTTAGAATTTAAATAAATAAAGTAAATCTAAACATATTTATTTAGAATTTAAATAAATAAAGTAAATCTAAATATCTTTATTCAGAATTTAAATAAATAAATCTAAATATCTTTATTTATTTAGAATTTAAATAAATAAAGGAAATCTGAATCTAAATAAATAAAGTCACTGGTTTTTAAGAATAAGTGGTCTTAGAATGTTAATTGTCAATTTTCATATGTTCAAAGAGCAATTGTTGATTTTTAGAGGTAGTGATTTTAGAATCTAAATAAACAGAATCCTTGATTTCTAAGAATAAGGGATCTTAGAATGTTAATTGTTAATTTTCATAAATTCATAGAGCAATCGTTGATTCTGAAAGACAGTGATTTTCGAATCTAATTGTTCAGTTTTAAAGGTAGACATTTTAGAGTAAAAGGTAGAGATTCGAGACGTAACGTTTCAAAAAACATTTCCATAGGGAAGGTAATACTAAAATGCAATTATTGATTTTAGGTTTAGAATGTAGCCGTTGATTTTCAAAGGCTAGAGTATAAACGATTTTCGTAGAGGATGGGTTTAAAACACAATTGTTGATTTTCAAAGGGGGTGATCTTAATTATTTCATACAACGGTCCAGATAAAAAGTCATTGTTATTGAAAATCCAATTTTCGTGAAATCTGTTATATTGTTATATTGACAGCGAGAGTTTATCGACGACGAACTTATTTTTCAATAGTATCTAATTTGGTCGATTTAACTCGGTTATACAGCAATCGTTATTGGTTTAAATAAATCAAGCTTGAATAGAGTTAAAGTCGAAACCGAAGTTAACACCAAAGTTAAAACATTTAATACCTTTTAAATTGACAGCCAAATTAATATATAACCAGCGACGTCAATATTCTCCAATATTCTCTGTTATTTCCCCCCCAAAAAATATCAGTATAATAACTTAAAATGTAAATAGACTGAATAAAATTTATCTCGATTTAAAAAAATAACCTACTGCAATAAAATTACAAAGGAAAATCCGTGGAAAATCGTATAAAAATTACTTCGAAACGTAAACGAAAAAAAAAAAAAAAACAACGAAGAAGAATTACGTACAAGTTCTTCTTCAAAGTTAAATTATATGGCTCAAAGGAACTGTGCGTGTACTTAAAATTCTATTCGAGAAAATCAGACTGCTTCACGTGCACCGATCTAATGTGTTTCTAGACGTTCTACACACAACACACACGGCCATACGCAATTCGTGTTAACATTCTGTCTCAAAAGCGGTTTGCGTATTTACGAAAGATTAATATTTTACACGATGCTCGAGAGAATTACTCCGGACAACACAGGGCGCGGAGGTTTCGGGGCCAGCTTTATCCCGGTTACATCCGCTTCTTAAGCGGATCACAAGACTAGCGGAGGCTTATTACGATTTCGCTCGACAATACGAACCCGGCAAGCGCCGACGGTTTTCCTATTATACACCCACCGCATATTGCGCGATGAAACTTTGACGTTTAATTATGTACGCAACTTCGTTTCAGTTTACTTTACCATCCGCCCTCGCTACTCGACGGATGCCAGAAATTCCCCGGAAACTGAAAGACGCGCGCCCGGTTATTGCCACCGGGTATATAAAGAGTCTGTGCCCCGCTGCAAATAAATTCGAACCTCGAGGTTGCAACTTTCGCGGCAAAGAACTCGGACATCACCCTGCGCTTCATTATGTGTTCAGATTTTATTAAAAAGAAATTACTTTCAGACGAAACAGACGACAATCGAATGAAGTTGATGGCAATCTAACAATAATCTCGCAGTGAGTTAATTTTCTTAATTGGAGTTGTTGGATCATTGGTGGTCATTTTAACATATTTGACTGTATTTTATATTATAAGATTATGAGAGTTTATATTGTATTTTATATTATAAGATTTTATAGTATTATAGTATAAGTATAGTATTATAGTATAGGTATAGTATTATAGTATAGGTATTAGTATATTATAGCATTATATATATATATATATATATATATATATATAACATATACTATAATATACTATAATATAGATATTATAGTTAGTTGATATATAGTTAATATATATAGTGTTTTATATTATAATATACTATAATACAGATATTACAGTATTTTATAGTATTTTACACTATAATATACTATAATTAGTTGATATATAGTTAATAATATAGTTACTATATATAGAGTTTTATATTATAATATACTATAATACAGATATTATAGTATTTTATAGTATTTTATATTATAATATACTATAATATAGATATTATAGTATTATATAGTATCATAATATTATAGTATAAATATTAATAGATATTATACTATTTTACAGTATAAGATTATTAACGATTTATTCTATGATAGAATATAAATATAATTTACTCTAGAATGCGATTATACTATACAAATACGATACCGGTTTAAAATTAATGAAAAATTTCGTAGGATTATTAATCTTCTTAATTGTAATTACTGTACCACTAATGATATACTTTGTATTGTACTTTACATAAAAGATAAAATGTATTTTACATAAAAGATTGTTAATGATTAATGATTTATTCTATCATAGAGTGTGATTATGTCATACGATTTACTTTATGACAGAATGTGGTAATAAATATGATGTCGGTTTGAGAATTTACTACAGCGAATGAGAAAATATAAAAGTGTCAGGGAAACTTTGCGTATACGTGTGAATTCAAATATAGTATGTCAGAATCGATAAATAGATATCTTCAAATCGATCAATATTTAATTCTGTCATTACTAAACTTCATCAAATAAATTAAAGATAGATTTTTAAATCAAGAGAAGAGAATTTAATTCAAAATAAGAATACGAACATTTGTAAAATGTTCATGCATGTAAAATGTTTATGGCTAAAAACGGAATATTTTTACGAAATTGTACCACGCAAACGTTTTGGGAAAATATTCTCGAAGATCCTCGAATATTACAGTGCAAGTACTCCCAAGATGAAGTTTCATAATTTATGTTTACTGTTATTTAAATCATTTTTTTGTTTTTCACCTCCATTAAGTTCTCAGTGTATAATTAACAAACCAAAACGAAATAAAACAAAATTTACACAGCCGATCGGGTTGAGACGAGTTAATTAAATTCCATTGTCACATCTCTCGCGTTAAATTGAAATTTATGATGTTGATACATCGTGTACAGGATAAGTGGATACTTGTTGAGCGTTTAGATTTATTATTACATGCGGTGTATTAATAAATTTGCGGCACGTCATGTGCATGCGTGTCATCATTTCTAGAAATAAATCGACATTTCAAATTATCTACGTGCCGTTAATAATTATTACCACTGCAATAATAATAATTCAGAAGGCTTATTTGAAGTTTCGTTGTTACATTTTTTGGAGAATAATGAAAAAGATGTAAAAGAAATTACGATCGTATGAAATTGTTGCGAAAAGTGTAATCGAAAAAGGAAAACTGAAGAAAGAATAAGTATATTTTCTTAATATTTTAAATTTTTTTAATAAGTATATTTTCTTAGTATATCTTTCTAAGTATATTTTTTTAATAAGTATATTTTCTTAATTAAGTAATAATAGTCGTATGTTATTATAAAAGTAGTAATAAATATTATTGTTTTGATAACGCCCTCATAAATTTTTCTTTGTACGATTCGAGTGATTTAACAGAGTAAATACTTGTGTAAATGGTCACTTACAATCCCTGGACATGCCGACAGCTAGGCACTTCTTGAATCTGCAGTACTGGCAGCGATTCCGACTTATTCTGATGACCAAACAGTTGCCGTCCTTCAGGCACCTGTATTCTATTTGCTTTTGAATACTTCTCCTGAAGAAGCCCTGGAGAAAAGGGAGAAATGGCACTTAGTACTTTCTTTATTAGAATATTAGAGAGGAACATCAGAAGTAAAAATTTGCAGAAACCATTTCTAACCTAGTGTAAATCTTGAAAGATAAAAAGATACTGTAGTAAAAATGAAAGAATTCGAAAGCAATCGAAACTTCAACATTTCAAAATACAAAATCCAAATACCAATTAATTTCTTTCCCCGAAATTTCGTTATGACCCCTCTCTTAATCCCTTCGAAAGAGTTTCAAGAGAAAAATAACGCCTGTCTTGCGAATCCTTGACACATTTATACTTCCTTATGTACTTTATCCGACTGATATAGTATAGCAAAGTATAGCGGAGCAATAAAAGTTTCGTCTGTGTCAACCAACCAATATAAGTTACCCAGCATCGCGCTCGACGGTTCTCCAAGTTTCCTCGCTTTCCTAATGCCGAAGCTTATTAATACAAAATGAGAGCATCAAAGCCAAATCGACGAAGAGGTAACAACCAAAGATTTCACAGACTGACGACATCACGAGCTTTCAACTAGCATCCCTTTGCTTTCCATCGTTCGTCAACTTCGTCAGCAAGTTCGTTCACCCCAATTAACATGAATTTCACAACACTCGACTTTTGTCTATACTGTTCGATCCTTCCTCCTGCAACAGTTTCTCCTCTCGAATGATCGTGTAACAAGATCGTTCAACGTTTCGAATACCGCCGATATCAACGAGCACGATTGTGTGAGAGAGAGAGAGAGAGAGAGAGAGAAAATTGCTGACAAATATTAACGCGTGGAGACAGCGGTGGAAAAGTTCAAAGCGATTATAGGATTGCATCAAAGGCTGCTCGAGCGTCGAATAGCCTCGATTCATCGGTCTCCTTCGGCGTCTTCCGAGGGCAAGAGAAATCCCTTTTCATCGCGCGATATTGCTTCGACAAATCCAACAAACGTTATGGTCGAGCCGGCCTCGTTGAAAATTGAACGTCCGCGATTTCTCTGTCTCGAGCGATACGCCGTTGGTAAATCCCATTCGTTTCGAACCGGATGCTGTGTCATACGATGTGAGATAATATAAAAATAAGAGACGGCCACTTGGGAAATTCTTTCGGATTGCTTTCGAGTCTCGCGGACGTTTCTCATCGTTGGGCACAACGTTGCTCCTACTTTTCCTGTTCGTTCGATTCCTATTCGTTGATATTAAGCGAAAATGCGAAGAAATTGTTCGCTCTTAGCTGGTTGTCAGCGAAGACTATGACGACTCGAGTTTGGAGTTTTGTAATCTAATCTTTGTAATATACTCTAATCTTTTGTAATTTAAAACTTTCGAGTTTTGTAATCTAATCGAATTTTGGTAGTAATCTCTATCATGGAGAATGTATTTAAAAATGTATTTAAAAATAAAATTTTAATAATAATACACATTATTACAGTCTGTAACCTAACTTAACTGTACTATTCCTAACTATATTATTTGAGGGTTTATACGAAAAAAAATATTACAATACAATGCAAATTGTTGTTTTGTATTCTTATCATTTATTTAATTTCTATTTATTATTTTTGGCATAGTTTCAAGATTATTTCATTTGGCATAGTTTAACGACGATGTCATTATTCTTTGAAAGTTGTCAATTTCGCAATTACACGGTCGAATCTGCACGACATTGATCTTCAAGTGATCAACGATTTCCAACTTGGTCGGTCAATTTCATCAGATACGGTTAGTATGGTAAAAGATTATGGTTCAGAGGATAAATCGATCGGCAGATAGTCGAGAGTGAAAGCTTGCCGATGCATCGCTGAGAGACTGAGAGAAGTCTGAGAGGCATAGCTCAATAGTCGGGATCGATCTAGCCTTCAAGGATACCGAATATATACCAGCACGATCGGCGATTAATTTCCTCAGGTCTCAGGACTGGATTTAGGGATCGTAAAAATGTCGTTCGCGGAGAAAAACGATAGGGAAAAAACGAGCCTTCTAAAACGGCAAGATAGTCCCGTACAACCATTACCGGCGCCACTTCTGCCGCCTCCGACGTCCCTCATTGATTTACGGCGATCGATCCGTTTATCGCCTTTATGTAAACGCTCGGCAAATAAAGCGACTGAACGGTCGCATACACGGAAACATAACGCGAATTTATGCCGTGTTAATCCATCGAGGAACAACGACGCTTCCCAGAGTAATTTATTATCTTTTTTTTTTTTTTTATTACTTTCGTCACGGTTTTCGTCGACGCTGTTCGAAATAAATGGCGCACAAAAATTGTTCGAACACTTGCTTACCTTTATCTTGGAATTAGAAAACTGAGCTACAATGGTTTCACTTTTTTAACATGTGATTGTTACAGATGCGCGTGGTGGAATATTGTGACGCGATTCTAAGACTGATAAAATTATAAATAAAGTGATAAAACTGATAAAATTGGTACGTTTTAGTTTTCCAACTCTGTTGCTTGACGAGATAGAATTTTCAATGTTCATGTAAGTATTCAAACAGTAAATGTATGTACTAGTGTACATAGTTAACATAAAATGATTCTAAAACTGATATGACAAAATTGGTATTTATAGTTGTTTAACTTTGTTGCTTGACGAGATAGAATTTTTAATGTTCATGTAAGTATTTAAACAGTAAATGTATTTACTAGTGTGTATAGTTAATATGCAATGATTCTAAAACTGATATGGTAAAATTGGTATTTTTAGTTGTCTAACTTTGTTGCTTGACGAGATAGAATTTTCAACGTTCATGTAAGTATTTAAACAGTAAATGTATGTACTAGTGTACATAGTTAATATGCAATGATTCTAAAACTGATATGGTAAAATTGGTATTTTTAGTTGTCTAACTTTGTTACTTGACGAGATAGAATTTTCAACGTTCATGTAAGTATTTAAACAGTAAATGTATGTACTAGTGTACATAGTTAATATGCAATGATTCTAAAACTGATATGGTAAAATTGGTATTTTTAGTTGTCTAACTTTGTTACTTGACGAGATAGAATTTTCAACGTTCATGTAAGTATTTAAACAGTAAATGTATGTACTAGTGTACATAGTTAATATGCAATGATTCTAAAACTAATATGGTAAAATTGGTATTTTTAGTTATTCAACTTATTCGATTTGACGATATTTTTCAAAGTTTATATATAAGTAATGATATTTAAACAGTAAATGTATGTACATACAGCTCACAGTAAATTACATTATTGTTAGGTTTCTTAATATGTAAATTAAATTTACAGATTTATTTGCTGATTCTACAAAAAGATATTCCTTGAAAGTTTTTCTTGTAGAAATTATTCATACTTGATTAATGATAAAAAAAAGTTTGCACCTATTAGTATAAAACTACGTATTATAAGAGTGAGAGAAGCTAAACTGGTGGTAAAATTAACAAACCTGGATTTCTAATTTTAACGGCATTGTTTTGCAACTTTTATATTCGACGATTTATTTTATAGATACAGAGCGCTGTGTTTTGTCATTTCGAGATCGATTAGTACAAATCGAAAACAAGCAAACCCAGAATTATAAAAGCAAGAATTGATTCGATACGAGAGAAATCAAATTCGATATGTGTACACGTGTATTTATGATTACATTATTAATTATTAGGAATAGATTTGATCAATCTTATGGGTTCAAAATCATCATTCAGAAATAGTAGTAACCATATACAGAATACAGTAATATAAAAGTTTACAAGAAAGTGTTAACAACCTACTAAATATTATATTCTTTACGTTGAAACGACACCAATCTGTTCTGACATATTTATTCGCAATATTATTTTTTCAAACACACGGTGTTCATTTCCTTACCATTTATCTCTCAAACTTCTTTTTTATCATATCTTTGAAAAATATCACATCCTTCGCTCCCCGTTTCGTTTCAGCAAGAATTTCTTATGCATTCGAGCTATTTTCTTCCCGATCGACTTCGTACCCTAATACGGGCACACAAAAGCCACTCTCGATGAAAGTACTTCGCGAACGTTCGCCGTACTATGCATCTGCAACGATACTTACGAGATAACTGTTCGTACAATTTCTCTTCGGTGTTATAGTTCGGCCATTATCTACTCTGACGAGCCACGTACGAGTCCTTATACGAGCCCTGTCGACTATCGACAATCGGGGAATTTTCGAAAGTTGCAAGAGTTGCGGAAGAGTTATCGAGCTGCTTTTCGCTTTCGGAGAAAGTGCGAGAAATTCAGCGCTAGATAATGCAGGCTTTCCTAATTCCGAGACAGTGCACGTTATTGCAAGCGAATCTGAGCGTAATTAATTTGAACGTCGAGGTTCGTTCTGCAAGTTCAGCCTTTTGCTTTTCATTTCCGAGTCGATCACCGTTTTGTATTAGATTTGAATTATCGGCGGGTGCCCTTCTTGCTGACGAATTTCTGAGATTAACTCGGAGTCAATTTTTCTTTTTTCTTTTTTGTGGAACAGTGTTTTTTTTTTTCTTGTTAGTACACTTGTAGTTCAGTTCAGCGTTTCTCAATTTTTTTTTCGTCGTGCAGCGTGATGACAGCGTTTGTAACATGAATTTTTAAGACTCTAGTATAGAACATTATAAAGGCACGAACAAGAAACGTGATTTTTAACTTATTAACTTTCGTGGAAATTAATTCAATTTAATTTAATTTATGAAATTTAATTTAATTCATTAATTTATTAGAAAATTAATTAGTTGCACGGCGAATCAATTAACATTGCGTGAGATTTCTGATGGAGGACGACAGAAACGCAAACAGTGGTATTTTGTTACAATGCTGGGTGGAATTATTATTCGACATTACGTGACGTGTTTCTTTCACGGTGAATTACTCTAGAATTCATATTTGTTTTATTCGATAGAAAGTATTAATGAAAACAAGGGCAACTGCTAATATTCAGAAATACTCGCTATATATTTCAATTCAGGCGAAGCTTCGCTTTTAAAAAATGAAGCCTTGTATTTTCAAAAAATCCAATAGAATCACCTCGATTT